TCCTGGCTATGTGTCCCACATGGTGGTGGGGTCAGCCTTTCTTATCTTACGCCTCCACTTCGCTCTATCCTCGACTTCATTTTCGGAGACTTCGCACTCTCTCATGTCCTTTACCACTATATCTTTCCATCATGTTTTGGGTCTGCCCCTGGATCTTCGACCTGGGATGGAAAGTTGTAGTGCCAAGTTCCCTACGTAGTCGGGTGGCCTCCTCTTCACGTGCCCATATCATCGCAGTCTACTTTCCTGCATCTTGTCAGCGATCTCGCGCACGCCCAAGCTTCCTCGCACGTACTCGTTGCGGATTTTGTCGAGCCTGGTAACGCCGCACATCCACCTCAGCATCTTCATCTCGGCAACTTGCATGGTATGCACATTCTTTTGAGTTACGGCCCATGTTTCACTGCCATACAATAGGACTGGTCTGATGATGGTCTTATAGATTAAACCTTTAAGTTTGACCGGCATTCTCCTATCGCACGTGACAACAGTCACTTCTCGCCACTTTAGCCACGCTGCGGCTATTCGGTGCTGAATGTTAATTTCCAAGTCCCCAGAACCGCTCATCATACTACCCAGATACTTGTATTGATCACACGATTTGATCAATTGTCCATCGATGGAAATCGGACTGTTGTTTGTATCTGGTTCGTTGAAGGACACACTACCTTTTCCCTTGTAGATGGGAACTATAGTGCTCAATCTCCACGCCTTTGGCATTTTTGAAGAGAACAACATACAGTTAAAGAAATCGGTTAGCAGTACGAGTCCGCGTGGACCTAAGCATTTCCAAGCTTCCACTGGTATTCCGTCAGGTCCAATGGCTTTCTTGTTGGACATTTTGTGTAGGGCTTTCTTTACCTCATCAGGATGTATTGGAGGTATAAGTCCCGCATTCACTTCCAATCCAGGAAGTTGTGTGGCAGCTAGATGGGGTAGGGATAGTAGCTGTTCGTAGTAATGATGCCAAGCTGTTATGACATCATGGTCTTTATATAACAAGTCGCCATTTGGACCTTTGACAGTTTTACACCTGGCCGGATCCTTTGTGCTTTGACAACGCTGTTTTGCTAGCTTATATATACACTTATGGCCTTCTTTTGTGTTTAACTTACTATAAAGCGTTTTCTAGGACTGCGCACGTTCTATGGCTATAACTTTCTTGGCAACTTTTTAACTTCTTTGTACTTTTCCCGATCTTCTGGGGTTAAAGTGTACTGCCAGGTCTTAAAAGCATCTTTCTTTTCCCGTATTGCATCTTGCACCTTCTCTGTCCACCACCACGTCTCTCTGTCGGATTTTTTACCGCTTTTTGTACGGCCAAGAATGTTGCTTGCAGTAGTTATAATAGACTTACGTAAATGTTCCCATATGGTGTCAATATCTGATTTTACATCAACCTTTAAATCAGCAAGACGTTCACAGAACTCGGGAATTTTCTCACCTTTTAGGTTCCACCATTTGGTGAGTTCAGGAATTTGAGTTGGTTTTTCCTTGGGATATCGTTTGAATAGTACGTCCATTAAAACAATACGGTGTTGGGGGGGCGACGCATTCTCCCGGAATAACCTTACAATTTGTTACACGGCCAATGTAAGCTCGGTTGATTAGTATGTAGTCAATCTGTGAAGATGTTTGGCCGCTTTTATACGTGATCAGATGTTCGATCTTTTTTAGCGAAAAAGGAATTGGCAATAGCAAGATCGAAGGCTGCTGCCGTGGAGAGAATGACTTTACCAGCATCGTTTAGTGTTCCGTATGCGTAACCTCCGTGCACCCTTTTGAAAGCGCTGTTTGCTTCTCCGATGTGGCCGTTTAAATCACCTCCCAGTAAAGTAGTTTCTTTAGGAGATATTAATTGAAGAATGTATTCTAGGGAAGTCCAAAAATTGTCCTTCTCTGCTTGGCTACAACCCACTTGGGGAGCATATGCAGCTACAATATTTAGTACCTCACCTTCCACCAATACCTTTATTGACATGAGTCTGTCGTTAATACGGTTGACCTCCAGGATGTTTTCAAGATGATCTTCTTTGACAGCAATTGCTACGCCATTCCTACCATGCTTTGCACCTATGTACATAAGTTGACGTTGACCCTCTGCGATATTACGGGCTTTGGATCCAGTCCATCGAGTCTCTTGTAGACATATAAAATCTGCCCTTCTGCGCTTGAAAAGAGAGGCAAGTTCCTTAGTCTTCCCCGTTAATGTTCCTACATTTAAGGTAGTGAAGCGGACTTTTAAGTTACGATTTGGTACTAACGTCGTTAGCTGAGCCCGTCCTTGACTCGGTAGCCCTAGCATACTATTCGCAGATTTAGGGCGATGTGTCTGCGCGTCGTTTTGCGGCGACGCCCTATCCGTAAGACTCAATGCATTACTTAACCTTTCCATGTTTATTTTCTAAAGATTTGGCTTTTGGGGTTTATTAGTCTATTGCCAATTGCCATCTGACGCAAAAACACCTACCCGCTCAAGGTAGGGAAACCCGTTATGGAGGTGTTGTATCCAGTATACAGGGTATTTTTGCCTGTATGAAGCGTTGTCTGGTTATCCCACCAGACGTCGGTCGCCAGAGCCCCGTCCGTAGGTCAGCAGAGTGTACCAAGTGCAGGTGGGGTTGGCGTTTGGGCTGGTAAAGGTGTTGTTTCCAGCCCCTTACACTCCCTATAGTGTGACCTATAGTGTTGTTAGGATTTTGGATTACTGAACCTATAGCGTTGTTAGGATGTCGGATGACTAGCACATCTAGGAAAGCTAAGAAATTGTTTGCCTCTAACTCCATTGTAAATTGAATTAAGAGTATATGGAATTAAGATATTCCAAAAATGCAGTTACTTTGTCTGTTAGTAAAATTGTGGAAGTATCGTCTACGTACCGCATGTAGAATCTTAGATTAACAGCTGCAGTAAGGAGGGATTTCTCCTTAAAGTCTTCCATTAATATATCGGTTGACAATGGGAGATCCAGATGAGCCCATGGCAACACCATCTACTTCCAGTAAAACTCATCCTTCTATAATAGATAGCCAGATGTAAGGCAATGTCTGAATATTACTGCATATTCTGCTGAAATGTAATCCGTAAAAGTAGTATTAATCAATTTTACAAGTAATTTCTTCGAGTCACAGTTCTTCAATGTTGAATATAAAGTTTATTAATACAATTCCTAGCATTAGTATTATGTGTTTTACACAATACAACAATTTAATACAAGAATTAAATTTTTTAATTAAAAAATGACTTTGGTTTCCTTATAAATATTACATTGTTATATCAATAAAATTAAATGCTTTTAACTTTTTTATTATTGTTTGAGTTTAGGGTTCGTGACAATAAAATCTGCCGATTGAATCACTTAAATTGACACTTTAATTACATAACAACAATTGAAACTTAAAACACACTAATAATTAATCACACTTAACACTTTAATTTGCTCCTAAGTCTTCACTTGTATCGCCAATTCAATACTGACTCTGTTGTGGTTTTACCAGCTTTATATAGGAAGTTTTCTACTCAAAACATCTAAAATGTTCGAGTGGAATGGCAAAAGTTCTAGCAAGGAATTCTCTAGAAAGCTCTCCTAGTTCTTCTACTTTATACTAGATGGCACCAATGAATTTTTAAGAAAGTTCTTGACACTCCTGTTTCTGCTACTTGATACTAGACGCAATATTATCATATTATTTTATGAAACTTTTCTAAAATCTTTATTACATACATTTAAATATTTTTCACGATAACTAATATCACTTTAAACAATTAATATTTAAATTTTAATAATATATTTCGACAATGCTAATTACTCGTGCGACTCATTTCTACACGACTCTCAAGAACGTAGAGCAGGCTGTTGCCATCCCATTCTGGTATTTACATTTATCCTTGTCTAGTATATCTACTGTTTCATTCTAGCATCTAACTGTCTTTATCTAACTTGTTAGCGCTATCTCTTATCAGTTATCATAACACAAGCTTTTAAATTAAATTACATTAAATATTCAATTCTTTGTTCGTATTGCATAACTGATTGCTATATTACATAGCAATCAGTTATGCAATACGCATATGCATATGCATGACTAAGTTAATTCAAAATACATTTATCTTTCAGAAATTAGCATTTTATAAAATTAATAAAAATATAACATTAATTTTGAGAAACAATGAATGATTTAAATAGATATTACCTCGCGTCACCAACATATATAAATATATAATCCTTCTTCTGCCACGCCCAACATTCAATACCATATATTAAGGTCACCAAACCACACATTAGTGTAATATGTATCTTTTACCCACATTAAAGTCGAGTCGTGCACAATCGTACAGTCGATTAAATACATCTGTAAATACTTCAACAAAGGTTCGCTTTACAGAGCACTGACAGGGATGAAGTGACCAAGTACCAGTCTGGTCGCTACATCAGCACTTCTGAGGCGGTTTGGCGGATACTGGCCTTCTCCATACACGACAGGCATCCAACAGTCATGCATTTAGATGTCCATTTAGAGAATGGCCAGCGCATTTATTTTTACCCTGATAACGTTGCAGCGAGATTGGAAAATCCGCGCCAAACCACTCTGTTGGCCTTTTTCAGACTATGTGAAGGGGACAACTTTGCTAGATCACTCACCTATGATGAGGTGCCGTCGTACTACACGTACGAAAAGCAAGGAGGTGAATTTAATCGACGTAGACGCGGACACGCCGTGGACGGGTTTCCGGGAATTTTTAAGGACACCGCATTGGGACGGGTTTACACTGTGCACCCAAATAATGGCGAGTGCTATTATTTGCGAATGTTACTGCACACAGTGCGGGGCCCAACATCATTTGCGTTTCTAAGGACAGTCGATGACATTCAGTATCCCACATATCGCGCTGCTTGCGTAGCACGCTACCTTCTCGACGGTGATCAACACTGGGACAACGCACTTGAGGAGGCCAGCATTAGTGACAGTCCCAGTCGTTTGCGACATCTGTTTGTCGTCATGTTGGTGTTCTGCGGTATTGCAAATCCGCTTCTGTTGTGGGAGAAATATCGACATCTTCTGTCCGAAGACTTCCTAAGAGCTCCAAGATGCACTACTGGAGATAATACTGAGGCAACTGATGAGCACGTTCTAAACAGTTGCTTTAGTTCACTTCAAGACATAGTCATTTCGATTGGCTGCAGTTCTCTGGTGGATTATGGGCTACCGTTTCCACAACATCTGGATGTACAAAAGCGTGGAAACAGAGAGTACAACTCTGAAATAAATTATGATCCAAGAGCTATGAGTACCGTCGTCAATGACCATGCCTGTAAATTTACCTCAGAGCAAAAGCAAATTTTCGACACCATCCTTGAAAGTGTTGGGCTCGGCCAAGGTAAAATGTTTTTCTTGGATGCTCCTGGTGGATCAGGGAAAACATTTGTCACCGCTGGCATTCTCGCAGAGGTCATGAGGCAAGGCAAGATTGCCATTGCAGTAGCATCGTCAGGAATCGCCGCAACACTGCTTCCTGATGGCAAAACAGCGCACGCAATGTTTGTGGAGTGTCACGCAACAGTGACAAAGGGCACGTGCTTAAAGATTGCTCTTTAATCGTGTGGGATGAATGCACTATGGCGAACAGAAAAGCAGTAGAGGCGGTAAACAGGACTTTGCAGGACATCCGCAGGAACCAGCAAATGATGGGTGGCGTTACAGTTCTGTTTAGCGGCGATTTCCGACAAACGCTGCCTGTGGTGACGCGAGGAACTAGGGCTGATGAGGTGAATGCTTCGTTGAAATATTCTTTCTTATGGCCACATATTCATAGGTTGCGCTTAACGATGAATATGAGAGCACAGCTTGGCGGGAATATACACACCCAAGAATTTTCTGATGTTCTCTTAAAATTGGGTGAGGGAACGTTACCAGTAGACAGTGGCCAGGTGGTTCTACCTGAGATACTTGGGAGAGTGGTTTCCACCTTAGAAGATTTAATTCGCCTGGTGTACGGGGACATCAATAGGATACCGCACCAAGATAATTCTTGGGTGTGTGAACGAGCCATTTTAACACCCAAAAACGACCAAGCTTCTACGATCAATGAATGCATTCTCGCCGAAATTGAGGGAAATGAAGTGATCTATAATTCAATAAGCACTATGGTCGACCGAGATGACGTTACACATTACCCCGTAGAATTTCTCAATTCCCTCAGTGCAAGTGGACTGACAGCGCACACCATTAAGCAAAAGGTCGGTGTTCCAATTATGCTTCTTCGGAATCTCACTCCGTCAAAACTGTGCAATGGGACCCTGCTCAAAGTCGTCTCACTGCAGAGAAATATCATTGAGGCGGAAATTCTAACGGGTTGTGGTGTCGACGAAACAGTGTTTATATCACGTATACCACTGATTCCCCACAATTACCCCTTTCAATTCAAGCGCGTGCAGTTTCCTGTGAGCGTGTGCTTCGCCATGACAATAAATAAGTCGCAGGGGCCGACACTGAAGGCTGCGGGTGTCGACCTCAGGACGAGCTGCTTTTCACACGGACAACTGTACGTGGCTTGCTCCCGCGTCACCAGTCCTGACTCGCTGTACATATTGAATGAGACCGAGGGAAAAACATCGAACGTTGTTTACACAGAAGTGTTACAGTAAATTACAACACTTCTGTTATTCGACGTCACCAAAATTTCCTTATTAACCTGACGTATTTTACCAGTAAATTAACTACATAACTTTCAAATTTGAGTTTACTAAGCTAAATAGTTTTTGAGGTAGGTATCTAAGCTTCAGTATAAGTATAGGATGCGTCTTTTTGAGTGTTTCTGTAAATCTACAAACTATCACTAACTATTATTAAAATAAAATAGAATAAAAAATAGTCATATCGCATAACGTGGGCAAAGCCACGTGTACCGCTATAGTTTATAAATTATTTTTTTGTAGTGAGTTCCGCACCGGATCGGTGAAATATACGGGATGAAAAGTTTTTTGTTGTATAGGTATTAAGTCTAGCAACATATAGGCTATAATTTATTTTGGAAAATGGAACACCTGATGCAGAACCGGAACAGACCAGCTAAAGTACAAGAGATATAAAAATGGTGCCATAGCAAAAAATATTCCACGTGAAGAGTATTTTCTGCTGTGAGAATAAATTTGAAGATCTGGAACACCTGTTGTGGAACACCAAAGCCCAGCGACATTATAACATATATAGGAATGAATCTATCTTAGCAAAAGTTGTTTAGTTTAGTCTGATGGGCATTTCCTGTTGACTTACAAAAATGAAAGATCTGGAACGTCTCGAATTGTTTGGCGCATCACATTGTTTTCCTGTCCCCGGGCGCTTTGAATTTGATTTTGACGACCCCGTTGTCGCTGGCATAAGCAACAGGATCCGCGTACGAAGTCGCGGGCGGAAGCTAGTATACTCTAAAAAGAAGAAAATAAACTTTAAATTAAATAAAACTCATCAATTTATTTCATTACGCGATTAATATGATATAGAAGTATGTCGCGATATTTAACTTTTTTAAATAAAACATAATTTTTTTGCCAGAATTATGTCGATATCAATTATTTTTATTTATGTACACATGTAAATCTTTGACCTTGACAACATTTATTCAAGTACCACTAAACTATCCCCAACCTTTTCCGAGTTATAACACTTTTAAATTGTTATAGCTGCTATCATGTTTGCCGCCTTTTTGATTTTTACTAGAATTTGTCCAGGCTGTAGTTCGAAAGTAGTTAAGACATGACTCTGCTTAGTCTTACTGTTTAGCCGGGCTGTAATAGATCATCTCCTTGAAGAGCTGAACACATACTTCATTTTATTCGTATTCTATTCAGCGAACGAAGGATTCATCCTGTTATCATCATTTGAATTCATGTTATTTTCATTTGATATCTATATCATGGGTTGAACAAAAAACATAGTCCGCCATTTTTAGGAGTCGCAATTGAAGCGAATTTTACTTTTAGTATTTTTATCATCAAACTCCTTCATAGGGTATGCTGGGAAAAATACGCAAAATAAAAGTGTGTAATACCAAGAACCCTTACTAACGACGTGTGTAAAAAGTAGCTAATCCGCCCTCTTGGTCAGTCGTCATAATGGATTTAGAAAGCGTACTTTTAAAATACAGTTGCAAAATTTTATACGAACAATTTGGCGATAATCTAGGACTCCAAAAACCCCGGGATAACTAAAATACAGGCTGATTGGAGTAACGAATTTTTTGGTTGCCAACTTAGATCCAATAAGACCTTGATTTTTTTTTGCAAGCAGTGGACTCTTGTTGTTCTCTACACAATTTGTTCGAGCACCATCAAACTATCCCTAACCTTTGCCAAATTATAACTTTTTAAATTTGGTATGGCGGCCATTTTGTTTTCTCCTTTTTGGCCAAGGCTCCATTATCACATCAGCTATATATCATAATAATATCGCATTGTCCTATTAGATGTCAGCCATATTGGATTTAGAATGAAGTCACTTTACTTGTTTCGCTCATCCAGCCCTTTCATTTGATACCCATATCATAAGGGATACTATGAAAATTCTAAACCACCTTTTTGAGACTTCCGCCATATTGGATTAAGAATGACGTCACTTCACTTATTGTGTTTCGCTCATCAAGCCCTTTTTAAAAATAAGATAAATAATTAAAAATATTTTGTACCGTCCGACATATAAAATGAAAAATTACGGCATTTAAATAAACGTGTTTTATCACGAGAACCAAACGTGAGTGCCAAGTTTTAGCCCAATAACTTCAATGGAAAAGTGTGATTTTGACATTGACATTGATTGCAATATACCAGGACGCACATACAAGTGAAGTTAAATAAAAGCTCTTAATAAAAATCTGTTGTTGCATTTTTTTTATTACAGGCTAAATTATTGGCCTTAATATATTTAAGCCTGTAATCTGTTAAATACCACTTACAAACACCACTATGATAATTACTACGTGCTCGACAGCAAAGTACTCGTGAAACATCATTAAAGTACTCATTTCTCTGGAAATAAAATTGTTTCGTAAAATATGAAGCACTACAATTCGTACTGCAGCACGACCGACTCCCCTACGCTCCATTACTCTCTCAGCATTAACATATTCGGGTCATAGTCATAGTCAATCACTCTGATTCTCCAGCAGATATCCTCATTTCTAAGTTTACCGTGCAGAGAAACCCCGAGCTTAGCTCTCTCCTTAGCTCCGAGGCCCATTTTTGACCCATAGGTATACCGTATAAGTCTACCGACCTCACAGATAACCTGGTTATTTAGACAGTATTCTCTAGAGGGTAGTTTCACTGTATGCTTTTTATTAATAGTGTATAGTGGGGGCATGATATCCCAGATCATGCATAAGACCGGTGTTTCCTTAATCGAGTCGAGCATGGATCTCAATCTGTAGGATAGCAAGCTCAGACCGCCCTGGGCCATAATCTTGTACAAACTAGCCTTCGCCTCCTTGTCTAGATAAAGATCCAGGGGTGTTAGGATAGAAGTGCATTAATAGCCGCTCCAGGCGATGATTGCATAGCTCCAGTTGCCATTCAGCAGGCATTCCTTTGTAGACTATTTAGTCTGTCTTAATTCGTCTTTTGGATAGCTTTGTTACACCAGACAGTGGAGGCTTAGGTGAGGATTGGCCTCATTATACTGCTGTACCATACTAGGACGCAAGCCCCAGTCGTTGCCGACCAAACGATTGCACGTACCAAGAGCAATTTTTGCCTTATTGCATACGTTGCTAAGATTAGAGTTTCACGTCGGTTTTTGGTCGATTGTTAAGCCCAAGTACCTAACTTCAGTGGAAAATGGTACTTACCATTGAGTTTTGGTGTGACTAATTTGTCCAACCATCTCTTTTTGGTAAACGGTATTATAACAACTTTGTCAACATTAACTGATAAACTATTATACCTGCACCAGTTATTTCTGATGTTTAGTGCTCTTTGTATGATTAATGATAAAGTGCTTTGACAAAAGCCCCTCGCAATGATCACAAGGTATTACCCTCATACGTTTCCTCCACCTCCTCATAAGTATGTGCCGAGGATAATGTGTAAGCCTGTACGACCTTCAGCAAACACCCTTTGGTTATTCTGAGCATCATGTACGCAACCCTCATCAACATATTTGCAATCTATACAGGGTTGTTGACGAGACACATGTGGACTTATAGTCCACATGCATCCGATACCTCTTTGGTACAGAATCTCGCCCTCCTGGTAAAAGAACAAGTTGCCGTATTCGAGGAGTACCATATACTCCCCCCTCTCTTTGGACCTCAGATAATTTTATAATATGCCAGTGCAACTTGTTTACCTCTTTATCCAGCTCCAGGATCTTCTCGTCAGTCCTCAA